GACACATAATAAAAAATTAATAAATTTTCATTAGACATTGTAGTATTTACTATGGTGCAATGATTTACCAACACTGCTTTTTTGGCTAATATGGGTGCAGTTGGTTAATCATGGAGTGAGCACTTCGCTGGTGGAAAATGTGAAAACGGGTGTCAAAAGATTCTTTGATCTTCCGATGGAAGAGAAGAAGAAATTTTGGCAGAGAGAAGGAGATGTAGAGGGATTTGGTCAGTCCTTTGTTTTATCCGAGGAACAGAAACTAGATTGGGCAGATTCATTTTTCATGATGACGCTTCCATCTCACGTGAGGAAACCCCATTTATTCCCCAACATTCCCCAGCCATTCAGGTTCACTTTCTCCCTTTGCTGTGTTAATTTGGATGCTTTTATTCTCTGTTTTCCCATTTTCATTCCAATGATTTTGTAAAATACTTTTTACAATATCACTTTTTTTCATTGTTCCTATTCATCGCATCAATTATCTCATCACATATTTATTAATTTCAATCTTTATAATTAAGTTTAAGTATTTAAAATAAGTAAATTTTTATTAAAAATAAAAAATGTTACATGACCAATAATTTTTCATACTTACTGATCTCACTAACTGCTAATCTTTGTTTCAATGTAGAGATGATTTAGACACCTATTGTGCTGAACTGGAAAACCTTGCCACCAAAATCCTCAACCTTATGGTAAAGGCTCTTGCAATAGACCCCAAAGAAATTAAAGAGATATTTAACGAAGGAAGCCAAGTAATAAGGATGAATTATTATCCTCCATGTCCGCAACCCGAGCTGGCCATTGGCCTAAATACACATTCTGATGCTGATATCCTGACCATCCTTCTCCAAGTCAATGATATGGAAGGCCTTCAAATAAAAAAAGATGGAATGTGGATTCCCGTTCAACCCCTCCCTAATGCTTTCATTGTCAACATTGGAGACATTTTAGAGGTATCTGGGAAAATTTATTCACAACTTTTTGTGTTAAGTCTCGTTTGAGTGTTTGTCAATTAAATCAAATTAAACCAAGGTAAAGAGTGACACTGAAAATTAAAGAAAATAAATAAATTTAACTACTTTTATTAATTTGTATATTTTAAAAAAAGTGACTTATACAACCGGCTAAAGTAAGTAGATTATAAGAACAGAATAGGGCCCTTATAAACATCTTGATTTCAAATGATTTTGTTACCTTTATGATGGTCAAACCTCAATGGCACCACTCAATTGTGCCTTTGCATCATGATTTTGCAGATGGTGACAAATGGGATTTACCGGAGAAGGAGAGGATTTCCATAGCTACCTTCTATGGCCCTAATCTCCATGCAACTATACAGCCAGCACCAAGCCTTGTAACTACAGACAGGCCAGCACAGTTTAGAACTATCAGTCTATTAGAACACTTCAAAGGGTATTTTAAGCGAGAACTCAATGGGAAATCATACCTTGATGAAATGAGGATCCAACATGAAAATGATAAAATCAATTAGAAAAATATGTTCGAAACACAAATAAATATATTATATTATCAAGAGATTAAAATGAGTGAAAACTGTGAAATAAAACAATAATATAGTGTTGTGATAAAAAAAAATACAAAAGTTTGTATGAAATGGATGTTAAGTAGAAGATGATGAATAAGAGTATAAAATGTTGGTTTCAAGGCATGAAAATTAGTAGTTATCTTTAGAGATATTCTCTCAGCATACATTAAAACTTTTAAATTTCTTGTCTAGCAATAACAAGAAATTTTCTCTCTTCAACTTAAGAATACTCAAACTCATATATTACACATAGTTAAAAATCTGTATTTAATAACGAGAAGTATTCATAGTTGATGATTTAAACGCAAGTGAAGAATTACATCTTTTCACTCGACAATCATGTCTTTAAAACCAAAAAATATCATTAAAAGTCATATCTTTTCACTTAAAGTCGTCTTTAAAATTAAAAAATACCTTATGACGTTGTACATGAACCAACCACTTGTTCATGGTTAATAATCATTTCATCTTTTTAATTATTTAAATTATCTACTTTTAAATTTGTAAATATATTTCAATGAATGGACGGGAAGTAGCAACATGTTTTCTTATCATGCATATTTTTTACTTCTATTTTATATTTCTTAAACATTTCAAATGATTTATCTTTATTTTTTATCAAATATACATAAGTAAATCTAGAACAATCATCAATAAAGGTTATAAAGTATTTTTTTTTTCCTCCTCTAGTAATATTTCTATTTAATTCACAAATATCACTATGTATTAGTTCTAGTAAATGTGTATTTCTTTCAACTTTAGGAAAAGGTTTCTTAGTAAATTTGGATTGTATGCAAATTTTACATTTCTTATTAAAATCTTTATTACTAAGATCAATATAATTATGTTTTTGCATATATTTAATTAATTTATAATTTAGATGTGCTAATCTACTATGCAATAAATCACAAGAATCAACAACATAGAGAGAATCATTCACTTTATCATTAATACTAGATTTGAACATGCCTTGAGTACAATATCTTTTTCCTATATACATATCATTCTTAAGAAAGATAATCTTATCAGAGACTAAGTTCTTTCTTATATTTGGAACATGAAGTACATTCATCAAGTTTAACTTCTTTCTCGATATAAGGTTTAACTCTACTACTCTTTGGCCACACACTTTGGCCAAATTGTCATTTCTCATTAACACTTCTCAGTTGTTCATTTCTTCATCTATCTTGAATTGAATGCGATCATTGCAAACATGAAAAGTAACACCAGAATCTAACTACCACTTATGAAATCTTTCATGTGTTGCCATGTTTAGTTCTATAATCATACCAATGTGCATGCATTGAACTCTCTCGGTAATCATAGCAACCAAGTCTCTTTCTTCCACAAGATTGGCCTTAGAACTTAATGCTTCTTTTGAGTTATTACCCTTTTTTAGAAGTCGGCAATCCTTAATATAATGCCCTTTCTTGTGGCAATAGTAACATTCTCTTTGTCTCTTTTTATCTTGTTTGGCATCCATAAAGAATTTCTTTTTCTTGCTTTGTTGGCATTTACTTCTCCAACATGGCTCACTTTTAAACTTTGAGAAAGATACACAACATCAAGTTTTTGAGTTTCCTCTTCTGTACTTAAATGCCTTAGTAATCTTTTAATAAAGATGTAAGAATTTCTTCCTATAATCATTTCAAGATGAAGACATTTTTGAATTAATTGCTCCAATTTGTAATGATTCAGGAACTGTTGCTTGTAGATTACGAAGTCTATTTACAAAAATTTGTAACTCATGAACTTGATCCATGATAGGCACATTATCAACCATATTAAATTCAAAGTACTTTAACATGATAAATTTATCTGTACCCTATCGTTCATTATTGTATTTCTTTTTTAAAAGACTTCTAAATCTCTAATGGCGATTGAATTGACATGTAGAGATCATAAAATCTATCTAACAAGGTGTTGAGAATGTGTCATCAGCATGTAAAAGTATCCTCATCATGTTTTTTCTTTAATTTGACAATCATTTCTTTTTCTTATTCAGTTGCATCTTTAGCAGTATTAGAAATTTGTGTAGTATTTGGATCAAACATATAAGAAAGATTTAGTACTAAAAGAAGAAACATCATCTTGTCCTTCCATCAGTTGAAGTTTGTCTCATCGAATCGATCTAGTTTAACAAACTCTTGATTCATGACCTTGAAAGTAGTATTCTGATTTTGAGTCATCTTCAATATAATATCTCTCTAAAATTATTAAAAAATTTGGTGTAGAAGAAAATGAACAAGAATATAAAATATTAGTTTCAGGACATAAAATCAATCACTATCTTTAGAAAGATATTCGCCTCTATACGAAGTTGCTATAAGTTAATAACGATACTCCCCAAGATACAATGAAACATTTAAATTTTTTGTCTAGCAATAACAAAAAAAAAAATTTCTCTTGAATTTTGAAATTTAAATATAAATAAAAAATTACATCTTTTCACTTGAAAGTTATGTCTTTAAAATCAAAAGATATCATTAAAAGTCACATCTTTTATATAAAAATATATACTTTTAAAACTAAAAGATACTTTACGATATTGTATATAAATCAATATACTTGTTTTTTGTTAATAATTATTTTATCTTTTTTAATTATTTAAATCATCAACTTTTAAACTTATAAATATATTTTAATGGACGGATGAAAAGTAGCAGCATATATTATTGTAAGCTAGAAGAAGTCTTGCACAATAAGTAAAACGAAGATATGGGGTAAATGAAATCAGAGAAGCCGTGTATATGCATGGATTTTTAGCATTGGTGTGTTAGCTACTTTTGTGATCGATCTTTTGAGATTATTATCACGTATTGACTTGTTCCTTGCTGTCCAAGCTTATTTACCTTTTCATAATTTAATAATAAGGAATACGTGTTTTATCCTTGGCAGTGAAACAATTTAATTTTATAACATTAATTTAATTTAAAAGTAAATTTAAAGTGAAATACTTAATATATTTTTTCATTTCAACACGAATTATAACATGAATAACTTTTTATTAAAATTTATTAAAATAAATCAACCTAAATCAAATTTATAATATAAATTATCGTATAAAAAATACATTATTTTCAAGCTCACTCATAATTGAACATGTTTACATTATTGCTCCAAAAATTCAACTTATATGTACTTATAGAATCTAAATGAGCATAATTATCAAACATTGAGTCGTTATTTATTTAAATAAATGAATTCAATTCATTATATAATTTATTATGTTTAAGTATACTTTTCTTTTGGGTAAACCTAACGCTCTGATTTTTTTAGTTTTATTTTATAATTTTTTATTTTATTTTGATAAACGTCAATTAAATAGGTTATTTTTGTTAATTATGTTTAGTTTTATTAATTAATTTTTAATTACCATTGATTAGCGTTTCAAAGTTAAAAGAATAAAATAAAATATTGATAAAAGGAAAGAAAGTAGGAGGTGGGTAGGACGATGGTGCAGCTGCTGAAGCTGGATAAAAGGAAAGAAACGGAAATGAAATGAGATTTTGAAAAATAAAAAAAGAAGAAAATGTTGAAGTGGGAGTGAACAAAATATGGATGTAGTAACCTTCGGAATCATAGTGGGCATTATCATCCTTTTCTTAGTAATTGTTTGCTACATCACCATCGAAGGCACCTGCAAGTCACGCTCCTAACACACTCAATTCATGGCATTGCTCTTACTCCCTTTCATTCTTCTGTCCTGTTTGGATCTGGGAATACCTCATCCCGATCAGGGTCACTCCCATTCTGTCTTCTGTGCATCCAACGCTCATCATCATCATCATGAACCCCATCACCATCACCACTGTGGTGGAGATGACCATGTCCATGATGCGCCCAAGCTTCCAGAAGAGATAGCGGAGGAGGAGGATATGAAACTGTATGGGTTTGGGGTACCCCATCACCATGACCATGACCATGATCACCTTGTTAGGGCTACAGAACTATCGGGCTTAGGTATTTTTATCATGTTTCTCTCATCACTTTTTCACCGTTCGATTTATTTGTTTTTTGTGCTGCAAAATAACCTCTCTGTAGAACCTCTAAGGCTTTGTTTGGGAGTTTGCTGGGAGCGGGTTTGATAGGTAAAGGAGGAGAAGGGAAAAGAGGAAGGGGTTTTTGTCAAAAACCCCCAGATTGGAAGAACTTAAAAATATAAGATTAGGACGGTTTATAAAGATAAATATCACGTAAGCCTTTCCGAAAATCAACTCCAATTGAAGCCTAAGGGGTTTTATGGTCTTAGCAGAATCTATTCGTGGATTGTGATCATTGTAGGTTTGAAATTAAAATGTCCTGTAACCAGTGCTCTTTCTTATGTGATTCCACTAATGGGATTTTTGGGTTTTCACAATTGTACTAGGTAGATAAGAGGAAATGTAGATAAGTCACCTAATTAATTTCTTTGAGCGTGGGTATTTCCCTATCAACCTCTCGATTTTTCTATTAAATAATGTTATATGGTATGAGCCGAGTTGCTAATCAAATACAAAATATGGAGACAATTCCTGTGTTGAGGATTAAAGGACTGAGTTTGAGTAGACCTAAGCTTGTGCATATTTCTGTCCATTAAAAGCAGTCTCTTTTAAGTAGACCTTTCAATTTAGCAAAAGGAAAAACTTTCCATTCGTGATTACATTTGGAAACTATTACTTTTTTATATTAAGATTACGATTAGGTTTTAAATATTTTATTCTTTTCTTAAAAGAAATTTCTAGTAGAATGCAAGTTCCCTTAAAGCACTCGTATATTTTTGGATAAAATAATGGCATAAGATGTGTGCTGATAATGCCATTCTTGCTTGCTGGAATCTTGAATCTATGGATTTTTTTCAGATTTGACATTTATATAGTTTATTTAATTTTATATTAGGTCTCTGGTTGAATGCATTGGGCTGTTCATTTCTGGTAAGCATGGCTTCTCTAGTTTGCCTGATTATTCTGCCTGTAATTTTTGGTAAGTATTTTATTTTGTACAATATAAATTGTTCATTTCTCAATTTGAAAGGCCTCTACTGTATTCAAAACTGAATAATCTGGGTTATTTGCTGTTTTCAGTACAAGGGAAACCTTCAAAGGCTGTTGTTGATTCATTGGCTTTATTTGGGGTCAGGTTTCATCTATCTACTTTCTTGAGTTTCACTACGTTGAATTCTCGTTTGATTGTTTTTGTTTCACTGTGTTTATCATCAAAATTACTGCTATTATCTCATCTGTTATTTTCATTAAGTTATATGGCTATTGCTACGTGTGAATTGAGTTTGAAAAATGTGAAGCAATCCAATAGTTACTTACTGTTGAGGGTCTAGTTTGTGAATTTGATAGAAACTGGATTAAAGATAAGAAAGAAAATGGTAGACATAATGTATATGCTTACTTCTGCTACTGAAATGATGATATCAGTATCAAGAACATGGATGAGCAAAGAAGATGATGACAAAAATGATGGAAAGAAATACAGATAGCTGCTAAGTATTCAAGAGGCCTTGATCTCTCCAGTTCTCTCTACACATTTCTGTGTTGCTTTTATTCTCTCTCTCTCTGTCCCTCTGCCCCTCTGTCCTCGCCTTTTATTGTCCCACTTTAGATCCTCACCTTGTGCATCCCATGCCATATGTGAAGGTGGTTATTTCCTTTCCCATTGCTTCCATTACTCACATGAGCTTCTAATCCTCTGCTTTCTGTTCCTTTCTCACACCTGTGGCACTTTTGTAGATGGTTTTCAAGTAGATCTTTTTCTGCATTACTTTGCGGTAAATATGATACTTAGTAATCCAGCACCACAAAATGCCTGGTTCTGTGGTGATCAATGGCATGCATCTTTTATGCTCAATTAATTTCTTCTTAATATTGTCTCCTCTTTTTTTTTAGGAGAATTTGTAAAAACATGAGCTCTGGTGCTTCAAAACCAGCTCCTAATGTAATTATTGTCATACATATAATTTATATGATGATAAAATGTTCTGCAAATATCAATTTTGAAAGAATATTCTATTTGATGATAAATAAACAAATAGGACCCTAATTATTATTATGGTTGTATAATTGATAGTTCTTTAATTGGAAACAAACATAAAATTGCAATATGCTCAAGAATTGTCATTGCCTGGGGGTTGCCCTGTTTGACAGTGTTCAATGTATGCTATAATATGCTGAAAACATATGTACAGAAATATTGCAATTTTTAAGGATAAAATTTTGCAGCTCTATTTTGAAGGATATATTATCTTCTTACTTTTGATATGGGGCTCAGGTTTTGGCTATAGTGGAGTCCTTGTTAGACATGCTAAAAGACCAACAAGCCTTGCTTGTCTGGATGTGACTTTCTTATCTGTCCAGGGCTTTTTAGTTTTAAACTTATCTTAAGATGATATCTTGTTTTCCGCTCTTGTGCCACTTTACTTTTTTCAAAAAAATATATCTTATTTCTTTTCTATCCATTAAAAAAGATAATTTGTAGAAGTTATGTCACAATTCTCAAAAGCTTTAGTAAGCTGTGACCTCATTGCATGCATCCAAACCAAGTTTGTTCTATTACAGATCTGATCATCCTGCAGTATTCACCATGTCATTTGCATTCCAATTTTCACTTACTACATACATACTTATTTACTTACCTATGTAGCATGTTTTTCATTTATGTTTACTGCATTTCTTTTGTTCAGTGTTGATGACATTTCTTCTTAGATGCTATTCTTTTTGGATGCATGAAATGTGGTTGCTTTGGTGCACATTTGTGTATGTTTGAAAATTAGAAAAACATATTTGCTGGTGTGTCAATTTTTAAGTTTATGTTGTTTAAATTCTTGAATAGAATTAAGTGAAAATCAGTATCTAGCCCTTCCTTCTTTCTGGTTATCTAGGCTATTACTCTTATTTTATTGTTATGGCATTTTATACTTATGGTTTGGAAACTTGTGAGTGCCGGGCTGCTGGCATGATGCAAACTAGGAAAAATTACTAAATTACAAGTTTTTGTCTATAGCTTAGTTAAATATCTTCTTTTATTTCTGGTTCACTTTTTTTTTTTTTTCCAATTTCATTCTCATTGATCATGTCTTATGCAGGCAGGAGCTATGTTGGGGGATGCTTTTCTTCACCAATTACCACATGCTTTTGGTATGAAATGCATCAGAACCTGTCTTCAGTATGGTTGATGCCTTTGCTGAATTTTGTATCAGTGTGCAGTTAAATTCTTATAATTGCTATTTGCTAGTTTTACATTATTTGATATTGTTGGAGGAAGTTTTGTCTCCATTTCTCTTTCTCTGCTCTTCTTTCCTCTTTCTTATAAACCATGCATGTGTCTCTTTGCCTTTTCTTTTACTGGTATCAAGCTTAGAGTATTAATGGTTGTGTTAGTTTGATCTCTATTGCATTGAAAATGTAAAACATTTAATCAACTGTGTGTTAGGAGACAAAGACTAAAAGTGCAGTACTGGTTATATATATATAGTACTCTATAATCCCCTAATTTTTTTGGTATTTTAACTTTTGAAAGTAGCTGAATGATTGGAAGTTGGAAGAGTTTTGAACTACAGTCCCTTCTTGTGTTACTTGATTCTTTTCTTTTTTTTTCAAATGAAAGACTCCAGAATTTTGGATATTGATGCTTATGGTGTGTTTTCTTGTAACTCCTATTTTCTCTTTGTTAATCATTTTCTTAATCTGGAAAAATTTTCTTGACCAACTAAATTGGAAATCTACAATTCACTATGGTCAACTCTTTTGTCTAGAGAGCTATGCCTTATAGGATTATGAATGAAACATGGATTGGAGAGTTCCCTACTGCTCTTTATACTGATATTTGTGTGTTGTCTAGATGAAGTTCAAAAACAGTGAGCAGCTTACTTTTACAATGTCAGGCTGCTGCTTTCCTTTCAAAAGTTTTTTTCATGTGTTTATTCATTTACTTTTTTGAGTTAAAAGTTGTTTTTGATGAAAATTAGGTGCTCACTTCAATTTAGAGCAACTTCTCGTGCTCCACTTTATATCTTCGGGTAGAAAAGGGATTAAGGATTTGGGGTATTGGATGCTGTTTACTTTAGAGCATAATTTGTTGTGCTCTTTACTTTACAAGCAAGTTTCCATTTCTAATTTGCAGAGACTGCACAAGCTAGCTGTATTCTTGATTGAGTTGATTCTATCCATTTTCTTGTTTTTCTACCTTTTTCTTTGTTACAGTACAGAGCATATCTTATTATTTCCCTAATTTTGCTGTCCCTTTTTTCCTTTTTTCTTTCTAATAATGTTTCTTTTTCTAAAAACATGGTAGGTGGTGAACACTCCCATTCTCATGGTAACCATGGAGACCATGACCATGATGCTAATTCTGGACATGGTCATTCGCATTCTTTAGCTGATCTTTCTACAGGAATATCCATCCTTGGTTAGTAGTAACATGCTCAAAGTTTCTTTCTGATTATTTTGATCATTCACCAGCAAGGATATTTTAAATTATTGGCTTCCTTTACTTCCTCTGATTAATTGCATGGCATAAGTTTGTCTTTTTTTTTTTTAGATAATTAAGATTTTAGCATGAATGAAAGGAAGCTTATTTTAGTCTTTTTTTTGTTATGGTAGGATAGAATAATATTTCTTTCTTGAAGAGTGAACAGTAATGGTCATCTTTCAGTATGTGGAAAACATCCATCTCTGATATCCATTCTTTTAGCATTTTGTATTTATAACTCTGCTAAATAAATTACCAAAAAGTGAAAAAAAGTCAGACTGCTTGTTATATTTTAGAATCATGCTACTTTTAATCTTTAAGGAAAAATAGTTCCGAATTTCATCTTTGTTGGTTTCCAAAATGGTTTTTATACAAGTCTTTCCCCTGGATGCAATTTCCCTTATCTCTGGAGAATTTTTTTCGGAAGTGCTTCTTGGTTTGCTTGTTTCTGTTTGTCCCCTGTCCTCTGGTTTGGTCTTTAACTCCTTTGAAGTCTTTATTAAGGCTCCCAAATTTTCATCTATTCTCCTAATTCTTAACAATTACAGTTTTCTTCTCATAGATGATCCCTTAGACTTTCAGATGAAAAATATATACAAGATTTAATCCAGATGTTAAGATCATCCTTTCTATACAATACTATCTAGAAAGCAACTTTCATAAAAGTGAGACAAGGAAGGGGGTGGGAGAAATTTGAGGTTGAATTTCTTTTGTCGTTTATTTGCTTAATGTAATGCTTGTAGTTATGAATGATCTCCTTAACTTTATTAGTCTATATTATTTTCTCTCAATTTTATTAACCTCTAAATTTCTCTAGACATTTTTAGTCTTCAGAAAATAGGCAGACTTAGAACCACTAATTTTTACAATGTTTTGTGGTTCTGGTAGCTGGAATTGTACTCTTTCTTCTTGTGGAGAAGGTAGTGAGGTATGTTGAAGAAAACTCAGGAGGAGCTAATTCATGGACACATGGACATCACCACCATAACCACCAAAAAAAGAAAAAATTGAAAGATGATAACAAGTCTACTATCCACTTGCCATCAGATAAGGCATCACATGACTCTTCAAAGGGAGATAATTCAGCTCAATCTGAATCCTCACTTAGAAAGGTAAGATGAGTATGTCACTACATTTGACAGGTTGGAATGCACCACTAATTTGGTTTGAACTGTTGTTGAGGTCACACATATATGCAGGGTTGGGGAGAATGCCAGCCTGGCTCACTTAAAGCCTTTCAAAAAGTGGGTTGGATCAATCTATTTTGGAAAATGGGTTAGGAATACTAGCTTGTCCCTCCCTATAAGGAAAGATGCATGACGTAATAACTAACTCTTGCTACCGCCTTCTCTCTCTGCCAGCTCATCACTCATTTCTTCCTTTCTCCTATTTCTCCTCCTATAAACCCTCCAGATTGTGGGCCTCTTATATGGTTGCTGGATCATAATTCCTTCTTGACTATTTTAGGCCGCAACAGTTGGTTACAAGGGCTATATAATGCCACATTAGACATAACCATTGTTTCATCCTATTTGTTGTTCAGTATAGAGGCAAAGCATGAACAGCTTATGTTTGTAATGTGGTTTAGTTTGAATGGAATGCTGGAGGCAATGAAAAAAAATTATCTGACATATGATATACTTGAATCACAGAGAGTTGGAAGCAATGCATCCAAAGGTGATAATCTGGATGCTAGTGCTGTAGATGGCTCCACAGATAACATCAAATCCTTGAATGTTAAGGAACCAGTTAGATCACCAACAAGCCTTGTATTTGGTTATCTCAATCTTTTCTCTGATGGAGTTGTAAGTTATATTGACCTTTCATTAGTAATAGCAAAGCCAAGATTTCAATGTATGTATTTATGCAAAATGAATTAATATTGCAGCATAATTTCACCGATGGAATGGCATTAGGAAGTGCATTCATGCTTTATGGATCTGTTGGTGGCTGGTCTAGAACTCTGTTTTTGCTGGCACATGAGCTCCCTCAAGAGGTCCAAATTCATCCTTGTTCCACCACATGTTCAGTATTATGCCTTTCTGCAGAATATTTTCAACCCCTTTTCAGGCGTAGCTTGGATTGTAACAGACAATTTCCTGAATGCCTTAAAAATTTGTTTGTTTAATATGATGACGTGCAGCCAATGTGTATCTTTGTGTCCCTAAATTTTTATATGGTTGTATGTTATTTATTTTTCTTATTGCTTAATGATTTTATCTAACTTCATAAGGTGGTTTGATTTTTTTATTACTTTATTTTAATAAGAGAAATTTGGCAATTACCTTATTTTAATCCCTAAATTATTTTTCTTATTATGACTTGCAAATTTTTTCGTGTCAGAATGGCCAAAAAGCATGATTCATCTAAGGCCACTGAATTGAATGCTCAATGTATGTAATTTTATTTAGTACTAAAAAAAATCACAAACATTGTTATACAGACTTCATCCAGTGACCTCTTTGCACACGTCTTCATAAATGTACATTCTAGGTTTATGAATGATTTGAATTAGTTGATATAATCCTAGTCACTACTCTCTGGTTACTTTTATGAAATACATGTCTGAAATTATCTTTCATTGTTTTAAAATAGTTATTAATTTGTATTACTTTTTGTCTGTGTCAGACTTGACAGGTCATGGATTGTTTATGCGATGCATTATTTGTCATGTGAACTTGAAAGTAGCATACCTATTTTATTCCACTAGATTGTGGAACTCTACATACATCACCTATATGACCTCCCTTATTTTTAGCTTCAAGAGTTCTGTTTAGAAATTAATATATAAAAATGAGATGTTCTATAAAATATATTTATGCTTTAATTTTTTACTTTTGTTTAAATAAATGAGCATAGATAATTACTTTTTTTTTATCCTGTGAGTGGTTGAATTTCTACAATGCTTTGACGGACCACTACTCCCTACATGAAGAATCAATTTTTTCACAGACTAAGTATGCTTTATGTTTGCTGTTGCAAATCTAATCAATCTGCATGAGAACTGCAAGATCTTAAAGTATCTCACTTTAATAACACATTCAGGGAAATATAAGTTGGACATTAGGTAGTATCATCCCCTAATTGGGGAGGCAAAACTGCTGCAAGTGACCACATCACTGCCATTTTGGGTTTCTTGCTTTGTTTTCATTTAAAATGCTTTAAGCTTAGTATTTTGTTCTTTAGATTTGATTTTATTTATTGTCATCATGTACATGGCATCAGTATTATCTGTATTTTTCAGATCTTACTTTTGTTTCATTAAAAGTTTTATGCTATTTGTTTATATCACGTACAGGTTGGTGATTTTGGCATTTTGATAAGATCTGGTTTCAGCATACCAAAGGCTTTGTTCTTCAACTTTCTATCAGCACTTGTGGCACTTGCAGGCACCGCATTGGTGAGGGTTGACTTCATTTAATAGAGTCAATTGTTTGGTGGATCCACAAACTTTGCATACGCACAGCCTTTAAACAAGAATAAAAATGTGAATATTGCCATTAATGTGTGTACAAATTTGTTGTAGTTAGGACACATTATGGATTAAATAGTGTACAGAATGGGGGAGTGGAAGAGTATAATTAAGTAAATGAGCACAGGAGTAATAGAAGGGCAATCGACTTACATATTTCTAGAAGAGCAAGAGTTGTATTTATTTTTTCGTACTAAATTAAAATGAGGTAAAGATGAAAGAGATTCATGATGCCTTAGATTTGTGTGTTGTAACGAATTGTCTAAACTTCTATGCAATTTGTTACTCTAAGGAATTAACCGATTGAGTTAGGACTTGGATTATTGTATCACATCTACGTACATTTTGATACCTCCCTTTTCCTTTTCTTGATTTCCTTCCTTTTCTGTCCAAGAATGAACATGGAATGAAATAGAAAATTACTGTTTTTGGTGTAGGCTCTGCTATGGGGGAAGGATCCTGGACAGTCATCTTTGATTGAAGTGAGGAATGTTTCATAATGATTTTTATTTTATTTTTTAGATTAAGTTTATTGATTTCAACGATGACTTGTTTCTTCTTCCGTTTTAACAGGGGTTTACAGCAGGTGGATTTATATACATCGCAATTGCAGGAGTACTTGCAGAAATGAATAGCAGTGGAAATACAACATTAAGAAGTACAATTGTCCAAATAATATCACTGACATTGGGCATGGCTGTTGCCCTTGGTATTTCCCTTGTAGAATGAATGAAATATGTTCTTTTTAGGACTTGCATATCTTGATTCGTGATGTGCCAATTATTTCACCACAATTATGCAACATGTCTAAAAATGTTCTTTTTATTTGCTTTTTACAAAATTGTGAACCCAAAAACTTTTAGGAGAGGAGAACTGAAGAGAAAATGATAGATCACACAGAATGGTCAGGCTTAAACTTAGTGATGATTCCTTTCACCCTTACACATTGAACTTTGTACAGTAAATTTTTGTTTTTTACTGTCGTTATTGTTAACCTAACAAAAGCCGATTGTCTTTGTCAAACTAAGTATCTTGTAACATTTTTATCTCTTTTGAGCTGTATAGCTGTCAATGCTTTGCCCTTTCTCATACACGTAAGATCAAAACAGTAATCGTGTCTGATTGATGTTGTACGCTTTTTCTTCCTTTGTCGTTTTGTTTTTTGTTTTTGCTATCTTTGTAATTATTTTTCTTATTCTATTACAATGAAAAATGAGCACGCCTGCAGAGTATGAAAATATCTGGATTTGATAATAAAAAAAAATGAGAGATACATATTTTTTACGACCATATATGATGAGTAGTTGGGGTTCTTGCAGCACCAATGTTTCTCGTCTTGCTCTATTGAAGCTTACTGGGCTTATAATCAAAATGCATCCCTCATTACATGCAATGTTGTGATGGGATTTATTTCTTTGTTAAGACTCAAACTTGTCCAACTGCTGAAGCACTTGATAGATAGTGATGTTCTGGGCTGGCAGGGGAGGGAGAGGTGGCATTCTCATCAATGGAGTCATCACAAGGTCTCCTCCATGTGTGAGGGTGTGATGCCGCTTTCGTACTCCTCGAGCAGGAGGCTCTGTGTCCATGGTTGCTGCTCTTTCTCCACCCACCATGGCCCCAGTTGTCTCTACCCTCTTCCTTAGGCTTTCTGCAAACTTCTTTTCATGCATCCTATCGTCCTGCAAAAGTAACATACCGGATCAGTTTCTTCCCTTAACTTCAGAGTAACTTCAAAATGCATTGAATTTATTCTCATAATACGTTTTCTGAGGGCCTTTGGAACAATCCCGACCATCGTTTTCGTGAAATCAAAGATGAAGAGGGAAATACTATGGCACTTGTCTTTCTCTTTTCCCAGACAGTAATAATTAGTTGCCAAACATTCATTGGTACTGATTTTCAAATCTATTAAAAAAAATAATTATAAATTATCCTATAATATTTTCTGTGAATACTTTTAATTCCTCACGTGAAAAATATTAAATGTTTTCTAAAATTTTTTAGATATTCAATGCATGTTTTTCATTTAATACATGATTTTAAAAAAAGACATTAAAAGAGAATATAGCATTACTCTAGTTAGAATCAATCTCAACAAATGTTTGACAATTAAAAAGAACATGCATAAAAGAAAACTGATTAATTTATTATCTTATAATACTTTCTTATTAGTCCTAATATTACATATGCTCTTTCTTATTTGCTTATTTCTTTATAATAACATAAATTTATCAAAAATAAAAAATGCCTTATTTATGTTATTTTTTTTAATGACCTCATTATATTTTTCTTTTATTTATGACAAGTGTATAAAGTATTTAAGAATTAGATATGTAATAATTGATGTTGTGTTAGACTATTAACAAAACAACAAATAAGAATAAAAAAATCTTTTAAATAACACAAAAGAAACAGCAATAGTACCTTATAACGAAAGTAATAAATAAAAAAATAAATGCATATGTATTAAATATATATAAGAAAGGACATTATGAGATGTTTGATAGAAAATGATACGATATAAAAATTAGATAAGAATATAATAGAAATTTATTTTGTAATTAATACATACTAAAATAATAAATTAGATATATTATCATATTATGCTAGCATATTCTATTTACTTTTAACATAGACCTGCTCGCAGAGTAAAACGATAAGATCAATTCTACAAAATAGATTTATTGTATTATGTTAGCTAAATAAATACTGAAAATAAGATCAAATAAAAAAATTATTTTATTTTATTTTTTATTACTTCTATGTCTAGTGAGGATATATAAGAAGTTGATGTAAGGAGATTATAATTGTTTAATAAAGAGTTACCTTTTCTTACGGTTAGAAAAAGAAAAAAAAATGTTTGACACTTTTTGTTGTTTAGTTGGATAGAGGAAGAGATAGATACAACAGAAAAAAATAAAAATTATAATAAATGATATGATAAAAATAAATAAATGTAAGAAAAAATGAGTAAAAATACAACGGTTATCACAGACAACTAGATGAGAAATTATGACAGTATGCCAGAATCTATTTTTCTATGTTTCAAAGCAAACAATCTGCATGTTACTGAGGTTCATTTCCGATATATTTGTCTTTCCTTTCAAAAGCTTCCTTCTGTTTCTGAGTGATTTTCTAAGCTGTACAGTACCCTAAGAAGTCTACCACCACATCCGTATGCTGTAATTCAGAGCTAGAAAGAGAAGCTGTGAAGGGTGACCCCTATCCCAATTTGTGCATGCATATTTAGATATATACAAGAATTTTGCTCGCCAGAAATATTGTTTAATATTTCAAATTCGTCATAAATATTATATTGTATATATGTAAAGTACATCACCTAAATTTTAGAAGTAGGCCCCTTGACTAGCAAGAGACAGAGACAATTATGCGAATGCAACTACAAGACAAATGCAGAACTAAGAAAACCACATATACCATTGCACAAAGCAAACATGATAAAGTAAAAAAAAAAAAAGAAGCAAAGCTGTACTGGTTTTTCTTACCATGCAAAACCCTGTTAACCATGCCATCATTGGATAACTAAATGACTAAACTACAAAATAGCATAGCGCATGTGCTTACATTGATAACGGAAGATTCTGGCATTGGGCATTTCACGGGACGATCTTCATCTGGTGGCTCCATAGGGTGTTCAACTGGGCAGAAATCTGTGTTCTTATCAACCCCTTGAAGATGATGCACTTCCATGATGACACTGTTTTGTTGTGTTGCACTGCTCTCATCTAACAAGGAAAACTCGCTCTCCTTTTCATCCTAAAATGTGCAAAAATTGTTGTTAAGAAATGTTTCAAGTGTCACAAGAATAGAAGAAAAGTAAAAGAGCCAAAATTCTTCTCTTTTAAGATATTCTTCAATTACCCATTATGCCGATGAATAATTTGGAGAGAGAGAGACAGGAAAACAAAGGTTAAGACTTAAGAGCACTTACAAAATGATCCCCGCATGAAAATCCCATGAACATATGAGCTCATGCCAGAAGCTGAGAAAATGTTGGTTTGTCTGTCTGTTGTGTGTGTTTGTGTCTGTGAGAGAGAGAGAGAGCGAAAGAGAGAGGAAAAGATATCAAAAGAGAAAGACAGCATAAAAAGGAGGAGTAAAGAGAGAGAGAGAGAGAGAAGGTGACAATGTGGGATCACCTTACACAGTTGAAGACGAAGAAAGATTCCCATTGGGATTTTGCTACTGCTTTTAAAATTTTTACCTTTTGCTTTCTCTTATTTAATTTTAATTTTAATTTTTACATGGGTCCTTGTCTCTTGGCGAATCAGAGGCATGCCTTTTTTTTCTCTGCTTTGGTGCTTTTTAAGAAGTGTGGCAGTGTAGTTTGGTTGAAAATGTTAGCGACCTCTCTCTCTCTCTCTCTCTCTCTCTCTCTCTAACACACACAAACACTTTCTGCTTTTCTTGGATTTTGCAGGAGAAGGAAATAACCAACAGATTTTGTGCTTGCTGCTATGTTACACCCCTTCGCAAAGAGGAAAAACAAAGCATAGAAAATGAGGTGTGGAGAAAGAGAAAGCGAGTGCCGAAAGCAAAAATATCGCGTCATTGCCATTACTTTAGTCTCCACACTTTTGAAGTAGCCGTTCGTTTATTTCGATGTAGCGCATTCCTAAAGTAGAAGAGGACAGTGACAATCGTACGTAGAATAATGCAATAGTTTTCAGTTTCAATATCAAAGCTACGTTTTATAAATGTAAAATATACATGCCCAATAACACTTACATTAAGATGGTATAAATAAGATGTAGTTAAGATCATTTTGTTATGTACCAGAATACTAGCTTCTAGTTCTTCTGGTTCTATACGATGCAATCGTAATAAACCTAATACTAACCGAGAGTATATATAAGCATGTAATAATTATATATTCTTTAAAATATACTAAAAAATGTAACTTTGTTAATATACACTAACTAAAAATAAGTTGATGTATATTAATTAATATTTATGATTATTAACATATATTTACTTATTTTTTAGAATTATATTAATAAGTTAAACTTTTTAAAAATATATCGAAAATGTAACTTTTAAAGTATTATTGTTAAAAAATAAGTAGGTGTAGGTTAAGGATGCATGTGTGTGAGAGTGACTGATAGTCTATGATATATAGGGCTTCATATTATCCTAAAATAATTAAGATGCTTCTGTTGTCATCCTACTAACTAGTACATAGCTGTGAGAAACAACGTCGCATATTTCTCACGTTGTCTTACAGTTTTCAACGATTAAGGGAAGTTCATGATTACAGAACCTTGTTATTGATATTTTAAAAATAACTTTTAGATGTCTCTAAAAATCTACAATACAAATTTATATATAATATAGTTATTAACTGTTATAATTTTTAATAACAAAATATTATTTTAAATGTATATGCATAATTATACACAAGTTAAAGTTTGTTAAAAACTTGACGTTAATTCATGAGATAAGAACTGGAAACATCAAAATCGAGAAAAGTTACCTGTAGTAGCTTTGTTAAGCCGCAGGTTGGGGCTTTTTAACATAAAGTGTAAAATGATAACATCATCCTTAGCAAGCAAAAATCATCGTGAAATTTCTTTTAAATTCCAGCCAAAATTATCTATAACTCGTTGGTCACAAGAATTTTATTGTAGAATGTAAATGAGAAGTTTTTATATCGACTTAATATATCCAAGTGCATTAAATTAAAATTTGATGCATTATTAATACATAGAAAAAAGGTAAATACTTTCTCTTATACTTAGAACAATCATTACCATTAATTTTATATTAATAAATAGTAGTGTTAGTAATTTAGTTAAAAAGATGTTCTAATTTTTAAAATTAAAAAAATTACACCTGTTAATTTAAAGAAGATACAAAATCACTTTAAAAATAGCATTTGTGTAATAAGTAATGATAGTGTATCAATACTTATTAACTTGTAACATCACACGATAATAAATTCTTGAAGGTGGATGGAAGTATCAAGAGTAAAGTTGCCAAAAATGTAATAAATAATAAACAATATACGAGAGACATTATTTTTAAAGGGACAATATTATGTAAAGAATAAAAAAAAACTAGTCTTTAAAATTTTAAAAACCTAGACTAACATCAATGATATTTTACAAAGTTAAAAATAAATAAATCTTAGACACCTAAATATATAACTCATAAAACCTCAATGACTAACTTAAAAGTTTATTCATTAAGTAAATAAGGGAATTCCTGCAAGTTTTTTGTTTTGGTCCATAATTCGTACAAGTTATTCAATATCATATATTTTGTTGGTGTTGGAGACTAGGCCCAAAAGGCAAAAGTAAAGGGACAAAAACCTATCAGGTGTGAGCAAAAAAACAGAGCATGTGGGAACAGAGGCGCCCCACTCACTCACTGATGTATGAACAAGCAAAAGTGGCTGCAAAGATGGGGTGCCATTGGGTACAAAAGGAGGGACCATGTTTGGGTGACATAAAGACCAATATCAGATTATCAGATTCAACAACGACTCTTCCAAAGCCCATTTAAAGATTCCATAAAAATACACCCAAAAACTCATGATCCCAAACACGCCCTATTCCTATTTTCATTAAATAATAACCCTTCATAACCCCAAGAAGTGAAATGGCTACTTTGTGGGGTTTGAGGCTTGAGAATGTATAGCCCTAGGGACCACACTATCCCTCACATAATTCCTAGACCAAATAAAATCATAAAATTCAAAAATATAAATTTTGATCGCCTAATTTGACAAAGTTGGAGATAGGAAAAGTTTTTTCAATCTTTCTACAATAGATGCTCCCCTTTCTAAAATCAAGACAGCAGCTATGTACGGTTTTAGTTTTTTAAATGAAAAATAGAAACTTTCACATTTTAACTCGTTATTGTGAGAGGAAGGACTATGTCCTCTCATATTATATTTTAGTGGAAGAATCTTGGCATCTTATAGGTACCCTCAAAACAGAAAATTTTCCATTGGAATATCCTTTCCCACATGATTTTATTAACTGAATATTCCACCTTTAGGTTTGAATCATCACAGAACAAAGCATCTTATAGCCATATTTTCCCACAGGAGAGAATCAGTAAACCTCGCTAAGGTTGCATGTCGAAATTCGTTCTTGGGAAAACTTGTAGTTTTCACTGAATTTGGCATAGACAATAATTGATTTGGTTGATGTCAAAGGTCTTGCTAATGAGAAGAAACCAGATTTTGGCAACCACTAAGGTTTGAAGCCATGCTATGTTATCCATATTGTATTTAACTTGCAAATGCTAGCAGTTCACTCCCATTAATTTTTCCCCTCTCCACTAGTTCCTTTATAGCCTACAGGCATTTCACAGGTCTGTAACATTGCTGACCCTTCCACAGACGATACACAGAAATACTAGAAGATGAGTAATATTTTACTGTTTTTTATTCTTAAATTAATATTTCTCTCTCATACTTTATAATTTTTAATATATTTTAGTCAATATTTAATAATGTATTAGAAAATGTATTTCTACTTTTGTTTTCTAATTTTTATAATTTTAGTAAAAAATAACATTACCACATAATTTCTTTTTTAAAAAAAAATATTAAGGTGAGAGCTTGATATTATATCCCAAAGTAGGAATAGTTTGAGTTTCAAATAACACTTAAAAAGACTTATATCTACTTCATGCTGAATAAATCACAGTTAAGAACTCAAATCTACTTATGCTAAATTTAATTTGGGATTTCAATTTTCTTTTTTGGGTCTAACTAATATGATCACTAAACCTAGATCCATGAGCTCTATTTGGACTAGTTCAACAGGTATAAAGCATAGTTCAGATCAAGCCCAACAATATATGTAATTAACTGAACATCTTTACCCAATTAGGATAAACGTGTAAAAGAGGAAAAAAAATAAAGAGTTAAAATAAATTAAAATTCGTACATAAATTAAAATTAATTTATTGTTCTTAAATTTTTTTCAAATTTTTTTTTTTTTAAAATAGAGTTGATTTTAATTTATATGAAGAAATTGATTTATTTTTCTTTCTTATTTTTGCCTCTTATAACCTCTTAAAAAGTTATCCAAACTTGACTTTTCTTAGATATGGATGCCCTCAAGCGTAATCGTTCCAAAACATTGCTTAAAACCAAAGATTCTGATGCAATATAATCACAGGTCTTGTGCGAGCTATAACCCCCTTATTCTACGAGTGATTAAATAAATTATGCTTCCCTTATTTAACAGTGACTGAACCTTAAAAACAAATCAATAAAACCACGTTAGGTATGTTATCTATTACGAGTGTAGTAATCAGTTGGAATAAAAAACTTTAACATTAGAATATTTTTGTAAGTAATTTCACCACACATCGTTGGCAATAGCAGAGCCAGGAAAAGGACCTCGATTATTCTTATTAACCCTCAATCTCAAGGTTAGGTTCAACAATTCTCATATAATTTAGGCACTGTTCTAGGTATGTTTTGTGTTATGTTTCAGTTAAGTTTAGAGTTTTATATATTAAATATATTTTTATTAAAATAAAACAATAATTTTAATTAATAAACAATTAAAAAACAGTTAAAAATAGAATATAAGTTTTCTTTCATATAAAATGTGTGTAAATTTGAAAAATATTTTGTAGACAGGATAAGAAATGAAAGTATATGTAAGAATGTGAGAATATTGGAATAGCATCTGTAAAGAAAAATGACTGAAAATAGATTAAAGTAGCTTGATCACAAGTAGAGAAGATCTTTAAAAGTATGAGTGAGGAGAGTGAATAGATTACGTAATTTTTGATCTATTAAAAATAAGCAGAGATTCAAAATAATCTTAAATAAAGTTATTTAAAGAGACATTTTAATAATGAAATTTTTAATAAAGCAGATAAACAGCGCCAAATGTCTGTGGTTCGAGAAGGCAGTGATATTAAGAATGTTTATTTATAGCCACAACATCAGACATACAGATAAGCAACCCAAAGGCATGCATGTACTTGAGAGTACAGTCTGAGCATGGCCATGAGACAAGTGGAACAATGAAACACATATTCCTTCTGGCCCAATTAACAATATTCGCCACTAACCTATCTAACTTTAGTGAGCCACAAAATATTTTGCATCCATTTTGGGCCCCATCACTTCCGAATAGCATTTCAATTTCGAAACACAATAGGATCTAGAATTGAATTACGTATATGACAACTCATCCTACTTAGGAAAATAAAGGTCGACACAGATGATTAAGACAACAACCTTGACGAATTCCACCACCTGAGGACCAAAAATACTCGATGATAACACCAACAAAATAACGAGTGACAGCTCATCATCATTTGATAAAACTAATAAGAAACTAAGCCCTTGTGTTTGTGCAATTGTCCCATTCATTCACTACACCTCCTTACCACACATATATACTTCAACAACATACCAAATCTTTAAGACAAAACAAAAATAATAAAAATTTGAAACGAGGGAAGGTTGAAGGTGGTGAAGGGATCACCATCATCATCACCACCATCGCCCTCTCCCTTGTTTCCACCATCGTTATACGAAGATCGAATCAATAAAGAGAAGGAAATGAGGGTATGGGAAAGAGCGAGTGGTGCAATCAAAGACAAAAACAGCATATGGGTTGCAAAGTTATCACGAAAAGGTGCATTTCGCAACCCTGATTTGGAAACGGTGATAATTAAGGCAACAAGCCATGATGAACACCGCATCGATTGCAAGAACGTGCAAAGAGTGTTCCAATGGATACGTACATCACCCATATACCTGAAACCTCTTGCATGGGCTCTCTCCAGGCGCATGCAAAAGACTCGAAGCTGGGTTGTGGCCCTTAAAGGCTTGATGCTCATCCATGGCGTTTATTGCTCTGACCTTCCCGGGGTTCAATACATGGATAGGTTACCCTTTGACCTATCCAACTTCTCTGATGGCCATTTGAGCCCTTCAAAGGCTTGGGGCTTCAGCTCCTTCATTCGTGCTTATTTTGCGTATTTAGACCAAAGATTATCGTTTGTGTCCTCCGAGTTTAAGAAGAAGAATAATAACAAGGACGTGGAGGTTGAGGAGATGTTGATGGAAGAGCTTCAGAAGTTGCAAAAGTTACAGGGAATGATTGGCATGCTTATGGAGATCAGGCCCAAGCATGTTGACATGAATAATGTTCTTATTCTTGAAGCAATGGATTGTGTTATAGTTGAGGTTTTTGATGTGTATAGTAAGTTTTGCAACAAGATTGCAAAGGTGCTGTTGAGGATATATGAGATGGGCGGGAAGGTGGAAGCAAGTATTGGCCTTAAGGTTCTTCAGAAAGCATCGATTCAAAGGGAAGAGCTCTGTTTGTTCTTTGACTTTTGTAGGGATATTGGTGTTCTCAATGCTTCTCAGTACCCCAAGATTGAGAGAATTTCTGAAGAAGTTATTAGAGATCTTGAGAGGATAATCAGTGGTACCTCTGCCAAGAAAAGCTTGGAGGGTAATGAGGGTAGTTGTGGTGTTGTAAATGACAAGGACAAGGCCATTGTGATGAAAGATTGTTCTGCCACTGCAACCGTTTCGCATAAGAAGGATTCAGAGAATGGCCTGACGACAGTGATCACTCACCAATGGGAAGTGTTTGATGATGATATAATGATGGTTGATGCTAAAAGAACATATTATGTGTCCAATGGTTCAAGGATTATTGGCAGCACAACCAACCCTTTTGAGGAATCATATAGCATTGTACCTTATCATCCTGTTCAAAATCAAGCTCTTCCTGATCTAATTAGTTTGTAGCTACAATCATAGAACTGAGGTTTATGTATGGTTCCCTTTTTACTTCACTAGATTCATTATGCTATATGTATATTCATAATTCTGGGGGAAGGGAATATGAAAAAAATGGAATCGAAAAGGGTAATTGTTGTTCTTACGTATTCTTTTTTCCACATTAGCAAAAGAATTTGCGATTTCCCCTTCTTAAGTATTAGGAAAATTTTATAACACACAAAGTTCTGTACTTATTGAAAATACAATAATTAGATATTGAAGTTAAAGTACTTTTGTTGCCATCTAGTTTTTATTTTTCCTTCTTTGGATGTTAATTAGCTTGTTTTGAAATAAAGCATTTTAAAGATTGGATTCATGTAGATCATGAACCTAACCCCAATTTAATTTTGTAGGATTTTCAGCAAAATGTATACATATTCTTGTGTGGCTCTATAATGAGGACAGGGAGCACTATACTATATAGATTCAATGTGATAGATCATTTTAAGAGATGGTATTACCATGAATGGATGGTATCCTTACAGATTCTGTTATATGCCTACGTGTTTGATTTGAAGCAGGTGAGTTTTCTTAGTAGTCTATTTTAAATGTTTGTGATAAACTCTTGGCAGCTATCTTGTCTAATCTCGAACTGTTAGTGTTATAAGCCCTTATATTGGGATAATTGGCATGATTCCTCTGTATGAGCACTTGATTAATTGGCCTATTGCTCAGGAATTGTTTTCTTATTCATGTTTGAATGCGCCGTCGCTCTCCTCTCAACTAAGGTCTCTTAATTCTGGTTAATTAACTTCACATTTCATTCCTAATGTCAACAAACCAATAACAATCAACCCTTTCACTAATTTCATGTAATAAAGTTTCACGTTGGTCACGTTGGTGGGTTAGCAACAAATCTTCAAAGAGTATATAACTAAGAAAGTCATGATATAGACAAAGAGGTAGCATCTCCAATCCTGAATCCAACCCATACTCAAAATTCTAATATTTCATGCCTTGTATCTGGACTTCCCCTAATATTGTTTAATCGTATAAGTCCCCCATTTTAAGCTAGTATTTGTGTATGTTACATGCATGTAAATCATATGGACCTAATAGTCATAAAGATAAATCAATGCATTTAGCTTGTTTTCTTGTATTGAATACCCAGTAAAGAGAGTTTCAAACTGTTTTTTCAGATGGCTTATTTTAACCGCTCTTTTTTTTTGCATGTCTGTGTCTCATTCTGTGTACGCTCTAAATGCGTTTGATCTCTGACTATTACATATATATATATATGTTCCTTGCACTTTAGCATTGATTTTTCATCCTCTATGTGTCGCATAGCACCTCTAATTCATCGCCGACATGGACACACCCATGTTCTTGAACTCCAAGGTTAGCTAGCATGCTACATTTTGTTTCCATTTTTCCCAACACATATTAGCTAACATCCAATCTTTCCTTTTCAAGATTAGATAACACTTTGATGTATTCGTATATTGTTGTATGCTCTGTTCTCACGTATTATATTACGTTGACCTCGTCATCAGTGATAGCTAATAGGGTTAATGTCTTAATGATTGGATTTGGGCTCTGCTCGAGAGAAAATTACATATCGCAAATGATTAAACTATGAAAAGGCTACATGTTCGAGAGATATGTTGCAGAACCTTTAACATTATTGTTATAATCAAATAAGAACTACACTTTTAAAACGTATTGTTTTATAATTTAAAATTTCAGTTTCATCATTAATTAAGGATTTCAATTTTAATTGAATAATTAATAATACAAAATAATATACGTGCCATATTCATCAAGTGGTATATTTTTGTCTTTTCATTATTTTCTTAATAAAACCGTATTTTAAGAGCATTATGGTCCTTAATTAATTGTTGAGAAGCATTGTTGATTTTAAAGGAGAAAGTGAGGGAAACAAATTCTATAATTGATGGAACGAGTGAAAGTGATTACTGCTTACCAAATATAATTACTTACCTTTGACCAATATGTCTAACATTAATATCAATAAAATTTTATTTCGTAAGCTAATTTATTATTGAAATATTATTAACATCTTATTTTTCTGATTGGTTGTGCTTTTATTTTATATATTTTTTCAAAAAATGGAAAATGAAATTTTCAAAAAAGATGAGAAGATTATTCCATTCCAATACGATATATAGCCCAAATTGTTATTTTATTTTATAATTTTATATTGAAAAAAGTATATAACTCTCAGTCTTATATACAAGACTCCTTTAACTACTTTATAAAATTTAAGAAATTTAGTTAATTATATTAAATTTGTCGGTAAATAATGTATTTTTTTTAATTATCTTTAATTTTTCTACGCAATTAATTAATGTGAATGAAACTGACAATTATGACCATTCATTTTTTCTTATCCTCTTGAGTGAAAAAAATCAAAGAAATTAATTTACTGCATTTAAATTAAAAATTATAAAGAAGAAAAAATCATATAATAAACAATTTGGAGAAAGTCTAATAAAAATCAAGGCAGTCCTTGCAAAAAGTTTTTACAAAAAATATCAAAGCTACGAACTCTTTTGTAAATCAGTTCCACAAATTCTAAAGTATTTTAAGACCCTACAATTGAGACGTTAATGAAAAAAATGACGTGTTCATATTCAAAGCTTTCGTATTTAAATAATATTAATCATTTATTTAGTTTTTCTTTTAAAAAAATTTAATATTTATTCATTGGTTATTGTTCTCTAAATTTAAAAAGTAATAAAAAATTAATAGAGGTTAGTATGAGTAGTAAGCAGCTCAGTATCGCTTAAATAATGTCTCAAGTTCGTGTTTTTGTGTATGAAAAAATTTCTAACTGTAAACTCATCTATCAATTTAGATGTACAACTCGAATTGGATCTGAATTAAACTGAATAAAAAAAATAAAAATAATTAAAAGAAAAAAAAAAGTACCATCTCCCTGTGAGAAGTCTAAAGCCCAAACAAGTAAGGCAAGGGCTTTAGGCCCACAAATTTATTTATTTTTTTAGTTTTAATATACCTTTAAAAATTGAAAAAATTAAATTTAAAAGTAGTTTTTAATTTAAATATTTTAAGTAATTATTAACTTTTTATTGATATTACAAATAACATTTAATAAACCGTAACTCTTAACCAACAGATAATAAATGTCTTTTGTATTACGGTTTGTGGATATTTCATCAACTTCGATACAAGTTAATGAGTATTTTTCAGAATTTTAAAATGTAGATAATACAAGTGGAAAAGGTTTTTTTGATGCTATTATTGATAAATTAAAAATTGTTGGACTTGATATTAATGACCTTAAAAGACAAGGATATGATAATGGGTCTAATATGAAAGGCAAACATCAAGGTATGCAAAAAAGATTTCTAGATATTAATCCTAGATCATTTTATACTCTATGTGATTGTCATAGTCTAAACTTAGTACTTTGTGATATGACTAATTCTTGTCTTAAAATTATATCTTTTTTTTTTGTGTTACAGCATATATATACTTTATTTTCTTCTTCTACAAAAAGGTGAAAAATTTTACAAAAATATATACATAACTTAACTCTTAAATCATTGTTACAAACACGTTGGGAAAGTCGTATTGAAAGTGTGAAAGCTGTAAGATTTCAAACTTCACAAATAAGAGATATTTTATTAAAATTAGCTAAACTTAGTGATGATCCTAAAATAAAAAGTGAAGATAATTATTTAACAACTTACAAGCTTGAAAATTTTGAATTTTTGTTAGGAATGATAATTTGATATGACATACTATTTGCAGTTAACTCAACTAGTAAAAATTTACAATCAAAAGATATTTGCATTGATGAGGCTATTGAATAAATAAAAGGTCTTCTTTTATTTTTTGAAAAATTTAGGGAAAATAAATTTAAAAATGTATGGACTTCTGCCAAAGAAATTACTTTTGAAATGAATATAACGCCTAAATTTCATAAAAAACTTATTAGTCGTAGACAAAAACAAGTTGACGAAAGTGTTGAAATGAAATTGTAAAATCTCCTCGAAAATTATTTAAAATTGACTACTTTTTATATATTGTAGATAAAGTAATTGCTGTACTTTAAAGTAAATTTGAACCATTTAAAATATATGAAGATATTTTTGCCTTTTTATTTAGTGTTAAAAATTTAAAGTAACTAAATAGTATAATTTTGAAAGAAAAATATCTAAACCTTAAAAAATCTTTGAAACATGATAATTTTTTAAATATTGATAGATTAGATTTATTTTCAGAATTAAGTATTTTAAAAGAAATTATAAAATTGGAACATAATAAACCAACTGACATTCTTAATTATATAAAAAGAATATATTTTTTTTCTAAATACATATATAACTTACAGAGTAATGTTAATAATTTTAATATTAATTACTTCAGCTAAAAAAAGTTTTTTAAAATTAAAATTAATAAAAATTTACTTAAGATCAAAAATATTTCAACTAAGATTAAATGGATTAGATTTATTATTTATTGAAAAAATATTAAGTAAAATTAATCACGATAATTTTATAAATAATTTTATATTACAAAAAAATTTAAAAATAAAATTTAAATCAAATTATAATAATTTAAAAAAATTATTTTATTAATAAAAAAATTTATTTTTAAATTTACTTTAACTCTAAAAACTCTTGGGTGCTACTGCATCTTCCCCAATGACCAACATTATCCGTTGATCTAGGAGTGTGCAATAAAGAATATTTCAAATCTTCTTAGTAATTATAAGTGGAAGAAAATCCCAACCATGATGTTCTCTCTAAATGTTGGGTCAATTTTGCCAATGACGACATCCAATTATATTAAAAGGACCATCACTTTGCACTATTTTTTACAATATGTTTGAATTCATAAAAAGAAATAAAATGTAAAATAACAAATTATAATAAAATAAAATATCATAAAATTAATGATTGATTTCTTTATTTAGATATTTTTAATAAAATAAAGTTAAATTCTCGTTTTGTTATTTTGTTAATGGATAAAATAGAATAAGTTATAATTTTTATTTTGAAATATTAATATTTTATTTAAAATTAAATTATATTTAAGTCAAAATCAGTTAAATTTTAGGAAAATTATTAGACAAGAAATATCATACATTAGTGAATATTAACAAGATTAAAGAGTATATAAATCAGAGTCTAAATTATTTAAAAAAATTTAGATAAATAAATCACTTAAATTTGTTTTTTCAACATTAGATCTAGCATAGTCTAAAAAACCGTAGGTTTGTCTATGAGTAAGTATCATCAAAATTCAGTTTTTCAAGGGCAGAGCATGATTTGCTAAATAGAAAAATTTCCATTAATATGTAGAGTTGTAGACACATGAGGTGCATGTAAATGTTGAGAAACATGGTTAATATAATTTTACTTTTTTTTATATGAAAATTCTTGATTGGCAATACAAGACAGGGATGAGATATTAGGTTTTTGGCTTATACGTGAATTACATTTATAATTTTAGTAAGACCAAGAATGTCATCCTCTTGAGGACAACCATAATGCAGGAACGTAATGTGAGGTGTTACAGCGAAAATGAAATTTGAGACTTTAACATAACAAGTATAAAATAATAACTTTATAATTTTATCAAATATTATATTTTTGTTCCATTACATTCGTTTCACATTAAAACGAAAAAAAATGAGAGTGAGTAATGGAATAGAAAAATTAATTTCACTAGGTTTCATTATATTTGATTTCAATTTACTAAATCAAATAATAAAACATGGCGTTACTTTATTCTATTCATTTTTATTTTTATTTTTTCTATTAATTCAAACAGAAAAATATGTTTGATAATTAGGTTTTAAATAAAAAAAAGGGTGGCATTTTTCCTAACAAATATTATTTTATTTAATAACATTTTTAAATAATTAAGTTTTACATCTTTTAATTATTTTTATTGTTTTTTATTTAAGAAATAATAAATAACTAAGGTCGTATTTTTTTCAAAGAAAATAATCAATGTAATAGATCCAGATTTGATTATGTCACTTTTTGGTTAGTTTGAAATGAAGTATCACCTTTTTCTAATGCTTCATTTATGAGAAAAGCCGCATAATAATTTACAACTTATTTTGAATATGAGTTTTCATGCAATGGACGTTGAGTAAAATTAAGCAAGCTACATTTAATCCAAGAGCGACAATCATGTATCTATAAACGCTCTCTAAAAGGGTAAAAGATGCATCAAACTACGAAATGACAAAGCTCAAAATTTGAAGTTAATTCCTTTAAATCATGTATGTATAAACCACCCCATACTCTTAATTCAAACTACTTCATTAAACGGCTTCTAACCCTCAAAAACAGGATTTATCCTCTTTTTTGGCCATCATAATTTTCTCTCGACTTCTCTTTTTCATTTTCATTTTTATTTCCGATTAATATTGTGAGGCAAATACCTTTTCCTCATGGTAAACCATTGTAATTCAAAAAATTATTTTATGCTAACAAATTAAAAGTAACCCAACTACCGTAGATCTCCCTATTTAAAGGATGCATCCTTCAACATTGGCAACTATCACCATCAAGTTCTATCACTAAAGTTCATAACATATAACAACCCAACCTTGAAGACCACCCTATTTTTGAATCTTTAACTGCGACTTAATGCCGACACTGTCTCATTAGAACCAACTAAAATAAGGAAGCAAAACACATTCTATTCAGAGGGTAAAAGATAACTGAGAACTAATTATGCCTCTCTTGTCTTTATTTCTTCTATTTGCTGAGAACATATGGTACAATTGAGGCATAGAAAAATTGCTGCTGAGTCACTAGACTTGAAAATATTCAGCTTTCCAGTACCAAAAAAAAGTGAGATCAACGAGATTTTGGGGAACATGCTTTATCATTCAATTATTTCCCATTATGCCCCAAGACTGTTCAGAACAGGACTCAGAAATACATCTATAGACAGTAATATAGTTAAGAATCATGCAGAAACATTGAGTACTTCACTAACTCAATGAACAACCATTGGATTAACCAACAAAAAAACAGTATAAATTCATTCCAAAAAACCAGGGCAGCTCACCAAGGATACAATGGTTGTGAACTTAGGCCTCTATATCTATAGTATGAGCCCCGGCTTTTAGTCTCACTGGTATCAGATGGGTTATGATTATGGGAGATGAATAAGCTCTTTACCCCCATTGTGCAGCCTCTAAAACTCTGAAGGACTCTTGAGAGGAATTGTCATGTTAAACCATGGTATACTCTAGAACTCCAACTGAATGATTTTGTACACCCAATGAAGCACATTTCAAATAGCATCCATTTATAGTATTGTTTAAAAGAAAATGTGAGGTTAAACCATGGCGTACTACTAGAACTCCAACTGAAAGATATTGTACACCTAATCAAGCACATATCAAGCAGCATTCACTTATAGTGTTATTTATGAACTGTATAGAACTAAAAAACTGAAGGGTTAAATCAAAGAAACAAAGTCAATGCATAATTGATGAACCAAAGAGTCAAAGGAATGATGAAAAGATAATTCATAAAAAAACATAGCATTGAAAAATCTTGACAATTTTAAATTAAAATGTGAATGAGAATTATCCAAAACTAGTCTATCTAGTAATAACTCATCTACACAAATTTTGATGTCATATAACACGGGTGTCCCTTATCACATAAGCCGAAGAGGGAAAAAGAACAAAAGAACGGGAATGTCCAAATTTTAGGCAGAAGTACCACAACAGAAAATTCTTGGATAACAAATAACTCGACATCTGTGTGGAAGACCACACAGGTGTATATACAGGCTAAACAGACCAGATGTCATGAGTCTCAGCAGCTTCTATCTACCTGATAGTGACAAACTTGTTGGTGCCATGTCTGGCCCAATG